CAAATATTTAAAAAAAAAAAATTTGTTTCGTTTATAGTAGCCGTAACATCTGTTGTAAAGTTAAAAAAAATAACAATGACAAAAAGATGGATTTGCACTAAATGCTCGTAAATATTTTCTTTTCTCGTAGCTCGCTTAGTTGCTGTGCTTACTTTACTTGCACAATGAAACCTGTTAAGATGACCACCTCTATAAGTTAATCATTTATCTAAGATTTTGATGATCGAGTATAAAACTGGTAAAAACAATTTATTATCATTCTTATAAGATGACAAACCATCAAATTGTAGTTCCACTTGTGATCAGTTTACGCTAGTTTCACTGAAGTAGCTTTAATAATTTTCTAAACTCCTTTTATAACACACAGTATATACATTACCATGTTTATCATTCAAAGTAATTATCTTTCCTCGTGATTTTGCAATTACTATAAATGTTTCGAAAGGTTTAAAATGTTGACATTTTCGAATAAAAAAATTTGTCGTCATTCAATTGACCTGATCCCTCAGTGCATTTTGTTTCAGTTAACTTAGTCATTTTTATTCATAATTTCATTATTATAGTTAATTATTTTTTTAAATTTCATAGTATATATTTTTGTTTTAAAAACAAAATCCATTTTTTTGCGTTTCATCGTCATCATTGGGTGGGCCTTGGCCTTCTATGAAATATTTCTCCGTGTCGTTCTCCTTGATGCCAATTCTGAGTACCATTTGCATTTGGCAATACGAATTTTATTTTAATATGATAACTAGAGCCCGGATTTTGATGACCTAAAAAATCTCAACTAATGCCTTTAAAAAGTGCAAAAAATGCCCTTAAAAAGTGCAAAAATTGCGCAAAAAATGCCTTAAATAAAGTAAAAATATTGAATTAAAAAAAAATTTTGCTCTTTAAAATTATTATGAGTCATTTAAAAAATATAAAGCAATGCAATACTTGTTCTACGTTCATTAAAGTTTGAAAAATATGTTTTATATCCTAAAATAACAAAAAAAGGAAAATATATTGACACCAAAATATTTTTATTTTGTATGGAAACTTTAATGGATATAGCAACTTCCATCTCATAATATTACTAAATATCAGAATTAAGCTGGATTATTAAATGTTTCTTGATAATTTAAAATGTAAACGAGCGTCTCTTGTCTGAAAGTAAATATTCATTCCTGCAGAAGCTTCTTTCAAAGTCTACTGATGTTGTAGGTGCGTACTTGAAAAAGACAGTCTCACTTACTGGCAATTCTTCTTCAATTTGAGAAGATTTTGCTTCACCTGTTAATATCCTATAGATTTTCTTCGTAGTTTGGAATGAAATAATGAAAATTGATAAAAAATAATAAAAATTGGAAAAAAATTAACAAAATGAAATATTTCTCCGTAAAATGCTCTCCGTATATCCATCATTTGTTTTTTCTCCGTAAAACAAATGATGTAAAATGCGCCCCAAAATTTAAAGAAAAATGCCCTATAAATCTAAAAAAATGCTCTAAAAGACAAAAAATGTCCAAAAATGCAAAAAACTGCAAATGTTATCAAAATCCGGGCCTTAATGATAACTATCCAAAACTTCATTTTTATTTGTTTCATTTATTTATTGCATACTTGGCAAAATGAGGTGAAAATAATAACTGTAACCATAGCAATACATATTATAGCTTCCTTTAAAAAAAAAATTATTTCATCATTTACAACGGGCAAATCTAAGCTCTAGAGAGATAAAAAAAATTTCCTATTTTTCGTGCAACTGTGAATAGATGGTAATTTATAAAAGTAAAATGAATTCACTAAAAAGCATTTAAAAGTACGATATTTCTTGGAAGCTCATTGTCATTCACAACAACTATTTTCATTCAGCAGGTTTAATGACTCTGGATTTAATTTTTCCGAGTTTCAAAGCGAGTCACGTGATTTATTTTCTCCAGAAGATAAACGATCAATAATGGTTGGAGTTTTAAAAAAAAAAATTTCCCGTGCATTTTTCCATATAAATCTTTGCGATTTCCTGAGTCTACGATTTGAAACATAAATATGGAAAGATTATAGACTCCATCAGCAAAGCAAATCAAGAATCCAAAACTAAAGCGAGAGCGTTTTCAACAACAACAAAAATGTCCCTTTTAAAAAAGGTAAAGAAACTGCGAACTTTCAGAATCATCTTATAATGGGAAGGGGAAAAATAAAAATATATATATTTTGTAAGGAAAAAAGTAGCGCAGATTTAAGATTTGTAGCGTTTGAAAAATAATAAGTATCCCAAAAAGTAGCGAGTAGCCCAAATTCAATTTTCAGTAGCGGGTACTTTTAAAAGTAGCCCAATCTGGCAACACTGAATCGATCAATTCTTATCCCCACTTCATTTTTACAAAAGTTAAAGTAGTTGTTAAAAATTATCTTTTTTCATGTACTGTTGTCAGTACATTTGTTATCAAACGAACCAACATAGAATTGAAATCAATTGGTATCGAACATTAGTGATCCTTAATATCCGGAGATGGAAAAAGAGAAACTAAATAGATCGAAGCGTGCCGTCAAAGGTACCATAACGAAATTAGAAACTTACTTTGATCAGAAGAAGGAACATAATCCAACTGAATTAGAAGTGAAGCTTAAGCACAATTATATCAAAAAGTTGATGAATTGAAAGATCAATATTATGGTCTAAAACAGTGGTCGGCAAACTTATTAGCCAAAGAGCCAAACCTGAACATTACAGCAATTTAAAAGAAAATTGGGAGCCAAATCTGCTTGTTTAGTAAACTTTTATTACACTAAATAAGTAGTACACTAAATAAAACTAAATTTCATACTTAATAAATATTTATTAATGCGAACAATGTGCTTGCATCTCCTTGGAAAGTTTGAGTAAGTCAGGTTTGTATGTTGTTGTTTTCAATTTTAGGCATGATTCGAAGTTTTCATCAATAAGACGACTTCTCAGTTTACTCTTGATAATGTTCATGCTTGAAAAAGGTTGTTCGCATATATATGTAGAACTGAAAAGGGAAAGAACAGCGAACGCGAGCTTTTTCAGCTGATCGTAAGAGTCAGGAAT